GGGGTTACAGAGAGAAGGCCTGGAGACAGTCTTCTCTATTGCATAACCAATAACATCAACAACATGTGGTTTCTCAGCTCCCAGCCTCTCCAGTTGCCTGGGGACTAACAATAGCAGGCACTGACTCTTTGCAGGGCCATCCCGCTATCTTCTCACAATGACCCAGACACACATTAGGGAGGGTGAGACAACAAAGTCTGCAGGATGTGTTTTGATTGCTGATTCCCATGACTTCAGATCAAATGAAGTATTCCTTTATACCATAAAAATGAACATTTTTATCCTATGTATCTGAAGCAAATACTCACTGACGTGTGAAACTAAAGCAAATCCACAGAGTCTGGAACAACTCAAGGTAATGCCATCTTTCTCAGCGTTGGCTAATATCACACTCTGTGGTTATGGCACAAAATAAATAATGTACGGTATATTGGTCTGAAGAAGTATTTTTCTTTTTTTTAAGTTTAGGGGTACGAGTGTAGGTTTGTCACAGGTAAACTTGTATCATGGGGTTTGTTGTACAGATTATTTCATCATCCAGGTATTAAAGCTAGTACCCATTAGTTATTTTTCCTGATCCTCTTCCTCCTCCCATCCTTCACCCTCCAAAAGGCCCCAGTGTGTGTTGTTCTCCTCTATGTATCCACGTGTTCTCATCATTTAGCTCCCATTTATAAGTGAGAACCTGCAGCATTTGGTTTTTGATTCCTGTGTTAGTTTGCTAAGGGTAATGTCCTCCAGCTCCATCCATGTCCCTACCGAGGACATGATCTTGTCCTTTTTTTTTTTTTTTTTTACAATGGTGCAATCTCGACTCACTGCAGCCTCCACATCCTGGGTTCAGCTCTTGTTCTTTTTCATGACTGCACAGTATTTCATGGTGTATATTATTTTTGTGGGGGGGAGTTCTTCTTCTTTTCTTATTAAAATAAATATTTGCTCTAAAATAACACGTGCCTTACAAAATACAAGTACCCAGTTACTAAAAATTAATGCTTTGGGACAACAAAAGACTTTTTTTTTCTCTTCATCACACATAGCTACAATGACAATCTAAGTTTTTAGTAGACTAGGATTATGCTACCAAATCCTAGTTATTAATTTTTAATAACTGGGTACTTGTAGTTTGTAAGGCAAGTGTTATTTCGGAGCAAATATTTATTTTTTCTTTTTTTAAGAACACCCTCACAAAACAACAACAAAAAAACCCAAATAGTACATTCTATGAGGGAATAAAATGGCTGCTTAAAAAAGCATCTTTAAGTATCTGCGAAGGGTATTAGAGTAAGGGGCCAAGGGATTCTTCTCAGCTTTTAGGTTCATTATTGCTGTGATAGCAGAGGATCGGGGAGTGCCATGATATGCAAAGCATTTGAAAGGAAAGGAAAAACTGTAAAGGAAGGAATTAACACCAGCCTTAATGGCATAAGACATCTAAGAAAACATAATGTGGCTGAATCCAGAATTTTAGTAACATTAAAAATTGTTTTTAACCTCATAAGTTTTTTTTTTAATGTAGTTTATTTGGCCTCTGAATGTAAAGTGAGAGACCAGAATATCACAAGTTTTAACTCTAAGTTGTTGGGATCATGCTTTCTCTAAGTTGAACCCAGCACCTTTGTCTAAATAAGAGTGGTATGGCTGCCTGCCAAACTGTGTAGTTTGAGAATAAGAGGAAGTACAGAGAAGCATAATGACAGGAATTGCTTCTATTAGGCTTGCAAGTTCCTGGGAACCACTGGGATCAGTAATTTGGCTGCTACCTTGACATCCAGAAGAGAAAAGGTAATGATAGAGGGTACTGGGTATGTGTTCACATGAGGGCAAATGAAGAGGAGGTGATGGCAAAGGCTTGGCTGGGAGAGGCAGTGTACACTTACACCAGGAAGCCTCACCAGTGATTGCCAGTAAGATGTAACAATTGTGCCTTTACCTAGTTAGATCTTTTTTTATCATTGAAACATTGTTTCTGGCTTCTAAAACAATCTATGCACTATGTAAAAATAAGGAAAACTCCATAAAAAGTATAGAAAAATTATCACTCATAAACATATCCCCCAAAGATACTCATTGACAACATTTTGATGTGCTTTTTTTCCTAAACACATTTTAAAATCAACATTTGTATTCTATGGTGTAAAATATCTTACAATATGATTTTTTTTACTTGGTAATAGTTACATTAAATATTCCAGACATAGTATAAGTTTATTAAAGCCCTCCTTCCATGCCCAAGACCACTTTTTTTGTCTTTTGTTTTTCTTTAAAAACTAGTCTGCTTTTCATTTTTTATTTTTATTTTTTGATTTTAACTTTTCTTTATTTTAGGGGACAGTTCTCCAAAAGAGAAGAGAAGGGTAATGAGAGAAGGTACTGGGTATGTGGTCCCGTGAGTGGCAGCACAGAGGAAGTGATGGGGAAGGCTTAGTCCCCTCCTCCTAGTTCACTCGTATGTTCAAAGGATGGAAAGATCACTTTTGGTTTTGTATAATCTCAAAGATTTCTTGAACATGTGGTTATCTGAGCGAGACCTTTAAGACTGCTAGAATTTTTGAGAGGCACAGATGAAGGAGGCATATATTTCAGGCGAATGAATGAGAATGAATAAATTTGCAAAGGTGGAGACCCAAGGGAACACATAAACTTGTTTAACACACAGGGAGTACTGGGAAGTAAAAAAGGGTTTCATTGCTAAGCTGAGGGCTGTGAACAGAGAGAGGAGTGACAAGAAGCAGGAAGTGAAGAGAAAAGGTGGGGCTTTCAGAGTTGGTATCTGGGTCATCAGTGGTAACTACGGTGGAAGAATAACTTTCCAATTCTGTTGGTGGGGTCAAAAGCAAGGAAATAGAGATTTGCAAAGACCTCTTCTTACACTGAGAAATTAGGCTGTGAAAAGAACAGAGTACTAACACTAGGGGTTATCAGAATCAGTAGCGAGTTTCTTTTTTCCAAGGCAGCAAACCAGAAACTCTTGATGCTAGAGACATCTCCTCTGAGACAGGAGAAAATGAGACAAATACTGAAGTACAGAGAAAGATAAAGGTATTCATTCTCAATGATTTTTTTTTTTTTTTTTTTGAGACGGAGTTTTGCTCTTGTTACCCAGGCTGGAGTGCAATGGCGCGATCTTGGCTCACCACAACCTCCGCCTCCTGGGTTCAGGCAATTCTCCTGCCTCAGCCTCCTGAGTAGCTGGGATTACAGGCCCATGCCACCGTGCCCAGCTAATTTTTTTGTATTTTTAGTAGAGACGGGGTTTCACCGTTGACCAGAATGGTCTCGATCTGTTGACCTCGTGATCCACCCGTCTCGGCCTCCCAAAGTGCTGGGATTACAGGCTTGAGTCACCGCGCCCGGCCTGATTTTTTTTTTTTTTTTGAGTCAGGTCTCACTCTGTGATTGCCAGTAAGATGTAACAATTGTGCCTTTACCTAGTTAGATCTTTTTTCTCATTGAAACATTGTTTCTGGCTTCTAAAAATCCAGGCTAGAGTGCAGTGGCATGATCTCAGCTCACTGAAGCTGCCACCTCTCTTGGGCTAAAGCAATACTCCCATCTCAGCCTCCAGAGTAGCTCGAGCTCTAAGCTTGTACCACCACACCTGGCTAATTTTGTTCATTTTCTGTAGAGATGAGGTCTTGCTATACTGAATAGGTTGGTCTCAAATTCCTGGACTTGAGCGATCCTCCCACGTCAATCTCCCGAAGTTCTGGGATTACAGGTGTGAGCCACTGCACCCAGCTTCAATGATCTTAATTTTTTTAATAAAGAGGAGAGATCATCTGCTGACAGAGGAGAGAGGTGGTGGGGATTTGGAGGGCAATCAATAAGGGGAATGGAGTTGGACCAGAGAGAACACTGGGGTCCGGTTCAGGCTACAGGGTATGACTTTGCAGTGGGGCATGTCAGTGGAGTCATACAGTCTTCCCCAGGACACTTTGAATCCTCAGGGCACCATCTCTATGGTGGAAGCCTTAAGGGTTGGGTCCTGGTTGAAGGCCATGCAGGAGTAGGAATGTCTCTGAGAACAACAGTCAGCAGTTGACCTTTGTAAATGGGTGGCCAGGTAATGGAAAAAGATTAACAAGGACTTAACAGATTGGGTGTGGTGGGATGGGAGAGGAAATGCTTCAAAATAATAAAGTATGAGTACCTTGGAGGTGTTATTTCAGGAGGAAGGTGGGGAGGGAATGGTGATCTAAATCACATCGATATATTTCAATACATATGTGTAAGGTACTATGCAAACTAGAAAAAAACATTTGGAGAACAAATCAGTTGGTTGAAATAAGCACAGAGGATAATTTTTTCTTCTAATTTCTGAATCAAACAATTTTAAAACATGCATTGGAAAATGCATCAGCCTTGGAAATAATCTGATGGATGAGTCTTCAATGAGAATGGAGACTGGGCACTGTCAATCAGGAAGGTCTGTCTGGCAGCTACCTGGCAGTCAACTCACTCACTGCACACAGAAAGGAACGGCTCAGGTTAATGAAGCAGCTTAAACGATTTAAAAGCACAAAGGTCGCAAACTATGTAGTGGGTGGGGCATGTCAGCCACAGAAAAAGGGTGTCTCCCACAAGAGTGCACAAAGTGTGTAGAGAATATCAAAACACAGGGAAACTATTTACATCAGGGAAGGAGTTCATCTTTCTTTCCCAACCTCCTATAAAACTTAAACGTTATATGGCATATGTCAAAACTAGCAGCAATAAGTTCTCAAATCCATAAACAAAGCTTTGAATTTTTAATTATGTCATATATTGGAATGTTAATAAGCAAGAAAATATACTAGTTTTTTTTAAGTTATAGAATTAATCACTTATATACTGCAACTTAATGATGTATGATGATTTGAAAGATGCAAAGCCTCAGAGGTAAAAGCTGTTACCAAGCCTCTTACAGTAAAATCTAGGTTCGATCAATATTTGACACTAGGAGTTAAAGGGGAGGGAGCAACTACAAAATTAATAAAAGGAGAAAAAGAATACTATACCTCTGGATTCATTATCCCTTCTTTTTTAAAGCAGCTGTAAAACATGTCCATGGAAAATACTTCACTCCAAAGATATCCATAATATTGGCCATCATAGCCCCCTGCCAAATGTCCAAAAGTAGCTGGCATATTTGTGCCTTTAAAAAAAAAAAATACATTTCAATCAATGTGATAGCAAATGTTAATGATGAGGTTAACAGCTAGCTAAGGTTTCCCTTTGGGGAGCCTAGCTGTGGGAGGAGAGAGTGAATGATATCATCTCACCTCTAATACTCCCTGGGCTTATGTGTCCTCTTGGCCAAGATGTTTATAAACATCTATCAATGGCTCAACCTCAGAGCTGGTTTCGGCCGGAGCTCTGGAATGCCTAACGATAGTTTCAGCGGCTTTGTCCACACCCATCAGATAGCTCAGTGTTTTGGAATTGAAGTCAGTCCTTTCTTATCCCTTAAACATGTATGTATCTTGGAATATAATATTAACCCTACTCTTTACGACATCTCTTTATATCTAAAATGTCTCAGAATCACACTTATTTTAGGATGATAATTACTGAAAAACAACTTTGTTTTTGAGACAGAGTCTCACTCTGTCACCCAAGCTGGAGTGCAGTGGTGAGATCTCAGCTCACTGCAACCTTGGCATGCTGGGTTCAAGCGATTCTCTTGCCTCAGCCTCCCCAGTAGCTGGGATTACAGGTGCATGTCACTACACTGGCTCATTTTTTTATTTTTAGTAGAGACGGGGTTTCACCATGTTAGTCAGGCTGTTCTTGAACTTCTGACCTCATGTGATCTGCTGACCTTGGCTTCCCAAAGTGCTGGGATTACAGGCTTAAGGCACCATGCCCGGCCTGAAAAAGAACTCTTTACCAATTTGATCTACCTGCAGGGCTACTTTATAAAAGATTTTGTCAATGTGGCTTGAGACCCAAAGGTGCTCTATGGCTTACTGTGTAGGGAGCCTAGAATGACTCAACTGACCATTCTTATCTTTATTCTCTCTATAAATATGGCTGACTCATTTTAATAACAATTTCCTGGGTGAAAAATATTCACCTTACCAACTACATATAAAAGCACAACTATATATTTTCTTAAAACATATACATACAAATATAAATACACATACACACACACTCACACACACACATACACATACACAGGCATACACACACCCGTACACACGAGTCCCGTAAATCTCTGGTTAGAAAATGCTAGCCAAATGCTTTAACTGACTTCAGAATCAGAAACAACGTGAAGTTCATGCTTCTCCCCCAAAATACCCCTTCTTTTTTTTGAGACAGGGTGTCACTATGTCACCAAGGCTGGAGTATAGTGGTGTGATCACGGCTTGCTGCAGCTTCAACCTCCCCATGCTCAGGTAATCCTCTGAACTCAGCTTCTTGGGTGGCTGGGACTACAGGCACAGCACACATTACCACACCTGGCTAATTTTTGTATTTTTTGTAGAGACGGGTTTTGCCATGTTGCCTAGGCTGGTTTCAAACTCCTGAGCTCAAGTGATCTTCCCGCCTCAACCTCCCAAAGTGCTGGGATTACAGGTATGAGCCACCACACCAGGCCTAAAAATGCATAACAGGATGACTATAGTCAATAATAATTTAACTGTACATTTAAAAATAACTAAAATAGTGTAAGTGGATGTATGTAATACAAAGGATAAATGCTTGAGGGGATGAAAAAATACTATACACAAAGGAATAAAAATAAAAATAAAATAAATGATCCTTCTGCCAATATGTTACTGAAAATCATAGGGAAGTCATGGTGCATACAGGGAGGGAGGAGCTGAGAGTGTGCTGCCAACACAAACGTTTCTCCCAGCTCCGGGGTGGAGGCCAACTGCTCACACCTGATTACACTAAAATGCTGCAGATCTGGAGCCACCTTTCCTTCAAGCACATTTGAACAGGATAACTCATAAGGGCATAGTATGCTTATCTGAAAGTCATGGCCTGATTACAGAAATCAGAAACAATTAGGTAATCTGTCTGACAAACTCCATCTCCCCTGCAATGTTAGGAGAATGCCCTGTGCTTCACAGGGAAATGAACTCAACTCGTAGTAGTTACATACCTGGAGTAGCTACAACACCTAATATTTCTGAGCAGTATTTGGCATATTCACTTGCAGCATCCAGCGATGTGTTGGTATGAAGAGACTGATCAACTTTGCTCAAAACAATCTGGCGCAGGGTCAGAAGACCTAATAACATAAGAATGTTTGGGCATGTTTTGGAGAAGAGAGAACTGTGTGTTCTATTAATCACAAGATTGCAGATTCCAGTAGTACTCATCACAAAATGGGAGCAGGACATCTTATTCTACTTAAGATTTAAAAGGGATGTGTGTTTTTTTTTTTTTTTTTTTTTTTTTTGTCTTAGACAAAATCCCAGGGTTTCCTACTTCAGTATATTTAATATTCTTCACTCCTCATATTAGCACTGTTGGGGTATCATTTAAAGGGAAAATAAGTTCTGCAGAAGATGTCAGCAATTTTTTTCTAAAATTACAAGTCATACCTGTGTTGACTAGTCTAGAAGCCACAAGTTTTTCAAGCAGATCATCTGAAATAGGGCTTCCGTCTTTATAATGTTTTGACAATCTTCGGAGGGAATCAATGTCCCACACCCAGTTTTCAAGCATTTGCGATGGCACCTCTACAAAGTCAGTTTCCACATTTGTTCCGCTAAATCGTGCAAAATCAGTCTAGAAAGCAAACACAGAGATTTTTTTAAAGAACTGAATGAAAAGTACAGATGCAATTAATAATTATTAAGAATCACTGAAACTTAAGGCAGAATCAGACTCAACTGCCCCTTTGAAAATAAAACACAGCAGCTGAGCAGTGTGAAAAATAACCCCTAAATACTCTATATTGTGGTAATAATTTCATTCCTTTGGATTGTAAACAAGATTGGAACAATCATCAGGAAATCATAACTCAAAAATACAAACAGTCTAAGCTAAAAACAAGCCTTAAGTTTTGAAAGCAAAAATATTTTAAAATAATTTTCCAGTAAAAATGAAGAGACCCATTAAACAAGCAATTTCTCCCTGGCTCCTTCTCCCAATTGCTTGCTTCTGTTTACTCAATACATGCCTTTCTGTGGCACTCATCACTCTATTGCTTAACTACTTAGGTTTTAACCAAAATTAATTGAAGAGTTAAATGACAACACTATACAATTTGAGTGTGCGATGCTTTGTATTTTAAACTTTAAATAAGTGGTTCTAAGATCACTATGTTGTAGAAAGCCAGATTTCTACCTCTCAGATTGGGTAGACAATGTAACCTTAAAATAAGAAGCTGCTTCAGTAGGAGTTAGGTTTGTAAATTAATTAGCAAGTGAAGTGAGTTATATGCAATAGGAAAAGAGAAACAAGGGATGTATTCAAAAGTTAGAGCACTCCTGGTGCTCTAACTTCAGAATAAAGGACTTATTCTGAAGGCCTGAGCTGAGTTAAAAAAACAAAAGAGGCATCCGAGTCATGGTACCAGAATCAAAAAAAAAAAAAAAAAAAGAGGTTTAAAAAGAGTTTAATGAAACCAAGTTTAGTAAATTCTTGAGTCAGACATCAGAAAAGCTCTCAAGCAGAAAAACAGAGATTCACTAAAACAGGCTAATGTTTTTAACCTTCACACAGTCCTTCAAACACTTGTAAAACTGCCATTGGCAGAGAAGACTTAGCATTTATCCTACTGGGCCATCTGCAGAATGGGGCTCCTCATTCTATTGTCTTTCCCTGAACCACTATCCTGTCTTTCTCTTCTGATGCATTACATTCCAACCTTCTCTCCCTGACTTCATCATCCCTGAGGCTCCAAAAGGAGGGGAAAGGGAAGAAGGACGTAACCACCAGAGAAGGCAGCAGATGGGGTGCCAAATCAGCAGCAAATACCCACTCTGCTTTTTGGCCCAGGGCAGAGACACAGATGTCAATGCCATCTCACATTCTGCCTTTCTCTCTTTATGCAAAAAAATGTTTTGCTTGACTTCTCATTAAAATTGTGCTGATTCTAGATATAAAGAGCTGCAAATATTAATGGGGCAAGGATAACTAAATTCACTGGGTTCTGGAATTAGGCCACCTCTATTGAGGACATCCCAATTAAAAAATTTTTGCAGGGAGGCCGGGTGCAGTGGCTCACACCTGTAATCCCAACACTTTGGGAGGCCGAGGTGGGTAGATCCCAGGGTCAGGAGTTCAAGACCAGCCTGGCCAAGATGGTGAAACCCCATCTCTACTAAAAATATTAAAAAAAAAAATTAGCTGGGCATAGTGGCAGGCACCTGTAATCCCAGCTATTGGGAGGCTGAGGCAGGAGAATTGCTTGAACCTAGGAGGCGGAGGTTGCAGTGAGCTGAGATCACGCCACTGCACTCCAGCCTGGCCAACAGAGTGAGACTCCATCTCAAAAAAAAAAAAAATTATTGCAGGGATAGAGGTAAGGGTCCCAGAAATGGAATATTTGTCTCATTATGGTATATGATGTTCTAAGATTACATCCTACATCATAGATAAAACAATCTTATACAGTTATTACAATAGTTAATATCTGTTGAGACCTTGCTATGTCAGGCATTATAGGCATACCTTAGAGATATTGCAGGTTTAGTTCCAGATCACTGCAATGAAGTGAATATCACAATAAAGTGAGCCACACATATTTTTTGGTTTTCCAGTGCAGATAAAGTCTATATGTTAACATTATACTGTAGTCTATTAACTGTTCAAAAAAATTGTCTAAAAAAACAATGTACATGGCTGGGCATGGTGGTTCATCCCAGCACTTTGGGAGGCCAAGGCAGGTGGATCACCTGAGGTCAGGAGTTCAGGCCAGCCTGATGGTGAAACCCTGTCTCTACTAAAAATACAAAAATTAGCCACATGTGGTGGCAGGTACCTATAATTCCAGCTACTCAGAAGGCTGAGGCAGGAGAATCACTTGAACCTGGGAGGTAGAAGTTGCAGTGAGCCAGGATGGCACCACTGTATTCCAGCCTGGGTGACAGAATGTGGCTCTGTCTCCAAAACACACACACACACACACACACACACACACACAAAAACAATGTACATACCTTGTATGTTAAAAAATACTAATGATCATCTGAGCCTTTAGCAAGTTGTAATCTTTTTGCTGATGGAGGCTCTTGCTTCCATCAATATTGATGGCTGCTGACTGATCAGGGTGGTACTTATGATCAGGGTGTGGACTGATCAGGGTGGTAGTTATAGAAGGTTGGCATGGCCATGGCCATGCCAAAAACTTTCCTTTTTTTGAGACAGGGTCTTACTCTGTTGCCCAGGCAGGAGTACAGTGGTATGATCTTGGCTCACTACAACCTCTGCCTCCCAGGTTCAAGCAATCCTCTCGCCTTGGCCTTCCTAGTATCTGGGACTCCAGGCAGGTGCCACCATGCCTGGCTAATTTTTGCATTTTTAGTAGAGATAGGGTTTCACCATGTTGACCAGGCTGGTCTCAAACCCCTGACCTCAGGTGATTCACCTGTCTCAGCCTCCCAAAGTGCTGGGATTACAGATGTGAGCCACCATGCCTGGCTGTAATTTCTTAAGACAAAGATGAAGTTTGCCACATCAGTGGACTCTTCCTTTCATGAAAGATTTCTTGGTAGCATGTGATACTGTGAGATAGCATTTCACCCACAATAGAATGTCTTTCAAAACTGGAGTCAATTATCTCAATACCTGCCACTGCTTTACCAACTAAGTTTATGTAATATTCTAAATCCTCTGTGGTCATTTCAATGATATTCACAGCATCTTCAGCAGGAGTAGACTGCAAATCAAGAAGTCACTTTTGTTGCTCATCTCTTTGAGTTTTATTTGAGATTGCAGCAATTCAGTCTCATCTTCAGGCTCCACTTCTAATTTTAGTTCTCCTGCTGTTTCTACAATATCTGCAGTTCCTTCCTCCTTCCAGGTCTTGAACTCCTTCCTGAAAGTCATCTATGAGGGTTGAAATAAATTTCTTCCAAATTTCTGTTAATGTTGACATTTGATCTCTTCCCATGAATCATGCATGTTCTTAAATGGCATTTGGAACGGTGAATCCTTTCCAAAAGGTTATCAATGTATTTTGGCCAGATCCATCAGAGAAATTACTATCTATGACAGCTATAGTCTTATGAAATGTATTTCTTGTATAATAAGACCTGAAAGTTGAAATTACTCTTGATCCATGGACAGCAGAATGGCTATTGTGTTTGCAGGCATGAAAACAACATAATTTACTTGAACATCTCCATCTGAGCTCTTGTGTGACCAGGTGCATTGTCAAGGAGCAGTAATACTTTGAAAGGAATCTATTTTTTTGAGCAGTAGATCTCAACAGTGGCTTAAAATAGTAAGCCATGCCATAAACAGATGTACTGTCATCCAGGCTTTGCTGTTTCATTTATAGGGCACAGGCAGAGTAGATTCAGCATAATTCTTAAGGGCCCTAGAATTTTCAGAATGGTAAATAAGCAGTGGCTTCAACTTCAAGTCACCAGCTGCATTAGCCCTTAAGAGGAGAGTCAGCCTGAACTTTGAAGCTTTCATGACAGACATTGACATCTCCTCTCTAGCTCTCCAGAAAGTCCTAGATGGCATCTTCTTCCAACAGAAGGCTGTTTCATCTACATGGAAAATCTGTCATTTAGTGGAGGCACCTTCATCAATGATCTTAACTAGGTCTTCTGGACAACAGCCACAACTTCTACATCAGCAACTGCTGCTTCACCTCGTTCTATGTTAGAGACAGCTTTTTCTTTGAACCTCATGAACTAACGTCTGCTAGCTTCCAACTTTTCTTCTGTAGCTCTCACTTCTCTCAGCCTTCATAGAATGGGAGTTAGGCTCTTGCTCTGGATTAAGCTTTGGCGTAAGGGAATGTTGTGGCTGGTTTCCTCTTCTATCCAGACCACTCAAAGTTTCTTCAATCAGCAACAAGTCTATTTTGCTTTCTTATTATTTGTGTGTTTACTGGAGTAGCACTTTTAATAACTTTCAAGAAATTTTCCTTTGTTTCATAACTTTACTGACTGGCACAAGAGGCCTATCTCACCTTTTGACATGCCTCCCTCACGAAGCTTGATCATTTCTAGCTTTTGATTTAAAGCAAAAGACTTATGACTCTTCCTTTCACTTGAACACTTACAGGTCATTGTAGGGTTACTGACTGATCTAATTTCAACATTGTTGAGTCTCAGAGAATAGGAGGTCAAAGGAAGGGGTGAGAAAATGAGAAATGGCTCGGTGGAGCAGTCAGTACACATGTAACATTCATCAGTTAAATTCTCTGTCTTATAAGAGCATGGTTTGTGGCACCTCAAAACAATTGCAATAGTAATATCAAAGATTGCTGGTCACAATAATAGATATAATAATAATGAAAAAGTCTGAAATACTGTGAGAATTACAAAAATGTGACACAGAGACACAAAGTGAGCACATTCTGTTGGAAAAATAGCACTGATAGATGTGCCTGGGCAACATGGTGAGACCCTGTCTCTATGTAATAAAAAAGGAAATCACTGATCACAGATCATCATAACAGATGTAATAACAATGAAAAAGTCATCCGGGTATGGTGGCTCACACCTGCAATCCTAGGACCTCCAAAGACCGTTGGGGGTGGATCATTTGCAGCCTGGAGTTCCAGATCAGCCTGGTCAACATGGTGAAACCCATGTCTACTA